CACAGAGAGGAAGGGGTCAAGCTATTTTCCAAAGCACATGAAAGCCAGACTAGAAATAATGGATGGAAACTGAACAAGGAAAGATTCAACCTGGAAATAAAGAGGAATTTTTTCCCCCAAGAATGAGAGCAATCAACCCATGTAACCCCTTGCCCTTGGAAGTTGTGGGAGCTCCATCAGTGGAAGCTTTCAAGAAGAGACTAGACTGCCATCTGTTAGAAATGGTGTGGTGTCTCCTGCAGAGGGTTGGACTAGATGACCTACAAGGTCCCTTCAAACTCTGTTAATCTGTATCTGTATCTATCTCCTTTTTCTATTTTTCCAGCTTCGATTCTGAAGACTTTTCTTACCACAGTATAGAAAATGATCAAGAATATTCTTGATCTATTCTTATCTTCTTGAAATATAGCAACAGGGAATTAGTACTCTACCTACCATACTCAAATGGCCTTTGCAAAGAGGGAATATACTACCTGGAAAGACTATAATCTTCAAGGGATCAGTTTTACTTCATACAAAGAGTTTCTCTCAAGTAAAAACCTTCCGGAAAATTCTAGGGCAGTAGGAGGAGATCTGTGCTAGTCTATGTGGATAAAAATCAGGGGGAATCTGCTAGTATCTTTTCCACCAGGACATTTATTAAATTGCAGATGTTTTTGTGCTCCGCAGCCCACTTTATTAAATGCATCAAGTAGATAAGCTGAGGTAAGCTTTAAATTGGGATGAATAGAATAGAATAACAGAGTTGGAAGGGACCTTGGAGGTCTTCTAATCCAACCCCTTGCTCAGGCAGGAAACCCTACACCACTTCAGACAAATGGTTATCCAATATCTTCTTAAAAACATCCAGTTCTGGAGGCAAGTTGTTCCACTGATTAATTGTTCTAACTGTCAGGAAATTTTTCCTTAGTTCTAAATTGCTTCTCTCCATAGTTTCCACCCATTGCTTCTTGTCCTACCCTCAGGTGCTTTGGAGAACAGTTTGACTTCCTCTTCTTTGTGGCAAGCCCTGAGATATTGGAAGACTGCTATCATGTCTCCCCAAGTCTTTCTTTTTTAATCAAACTAGACATACCCAATTCCAGCAACCGTTCTTCATATGTTTTAGCCTCCAGTTCCCTAANTTCCTCCTTCTGACCTCCCAGATTAACCTCAGTCTCCAGCCCAGAAGGAGTGTTTTACCTGATTCTCCTCACTTTGAAGACTAAGGTTTTTTCTACAGGATTTTTTACAGGAGTTCTTCAGATTTTTTACTAGTTCTACAAGATTCTACAGACTACAGGAATTTTTGCAGGTTTTTTTGCTAGATTACCTGAAAATCCCTTCATCCTTCCTTGCAGTGCTCAGCTTTGCTAGCCAAGCCGCGCCGCCGGCTAGCGGGATCCCAAGCGACCAGACGGTCGCATAAGCGGGCAAAAGGCCGCGTGGTGCCTTTTGGAGGCTCCATGCACCCAAGAGGCCATCAGGGGACCGGGGATCCGGCAGATTCCTCCCCCAACGCTCCCAAGCTGCAGGGAATTGGGTCGCAGATCGGCGGCCGCCATCTTGGTCCTCCGACATCTTAGGAGCACATGAGTGGGCACGTGACCGGGGTTCCTTCTACGGACTCCAAAAGTGTTCAGAAGAGCACCACTGAAGCTGGAAAAGGCTTTGAAGGCCCCAACTCCGCTGGCTCTCTGGGGAGGTCCTAATCCAAGCAGAGCGCCGGCAGTTGGGCCGCAGATCGGCGGCAGGGAACATTGGAGCGCAGAGCCTAGCAGCAAACGCGTCATACAAGGCAAGGCTGGCCAGAAGAAAGGAGGCGGTGAGCGTCATAACTGTGAGTACAATGGCAGAGGTGGTGAGGAGCAGGGGTGCCAGGGCCAGATCACATGTGGATTCGGAACCGGGCAGTGGCTGACCCCAGCATTAGACAAGGGATACCTCTTCAAGGAACCAGCAAGGAAGATACTCACAACGGATGCGAGCCTGTTCGGCAGGGGAGCACACCTGGAAGCCCAGATAGCCCAGGGCTGCTGAACTCCAACAGACCTACACAACAACATCAACTGGTTGGAGCTCAGGGCCATCCATCTGACCCTACGTCACTTCAAGACCACGGTGACCGGTCAGCATGTCCTGGTCCTGACAGACAACGTGGCAGCCAAGGTCCACATGAACAGACAACGGGGCACCCATTCCAAGGCCCTTTGCGACGAGGGCCTCCGATTGGGGAACTGGGCAGAGAGGCATCTCCAGTCCATCAGAGTGGAACACATCTCCGGGACAGAGAACCAGCAAGCGGATTGGCTCAGCAGGGAGACGGTCGACAATGGAGAGTGGCAGCTCCATCCCAGCATCTTCCTGCAGATCTGTGAGAGGTTCGGGCGCCCGACGGTGG